TTTCCTCCCTCCCTGCTTTCCTTTTCTATTTTCTTCTTTCCTTTTCTCTCTCCTTCCTTCCTTCCTTCTCATCTCCTTCCTTTTTCCTTCCTTTTCTCATCTCCTTCCTTCCTCCCATCTCCTTCCTTCCTTTTCTATTTCCCCTCCCTTCCTTCTTCCTTTCTGCTTTCCTTTTCTACTTTCTTTCTTCCTTTTCTCTCTCCTTCCCTCTTTCCTCCCTTCCTTTTCTCATCTCCTTCCTTCCTCTCTCTGCCCATCTCCTTCGTTCCTTTTCTATTTCTTCTCTCTCCCTTCCTCCTTCCTTTCTTCTTTCTTTTTTCTTCCTTCCTTCCTTTTCTATCTCCTCCCTTCCTCCCTCCCTCGCTTCAACAGTGTGGCCTGTTCTCCCCACACACCCACAATTCAGCATTCACAACTGAAGCCCTTTTCAGCGTTCTTTCAGAGAAAATAGGAGAAGAAAGGAGTACAGTCCTCGACTTACGACCACCCATTTAGTGACTGAAGTGACAACAGCATTGAAAAAAGGGCACTTACAACCATCCTCACACACTTGTGACCATTGCAACATCTCTGCGGCCACGTTTAAAATTGGCAACTTGCATTTCTTACAAAGGTTACGGGAAGCCAGATTTGCTTAATGACCGCGTGATTCACTTAACAACTGTGGCAAAAAAATAGGCGTGATTCACTTTAACAACTGCCTGACTTAGTAACAGAAATTCAATCCCCCATTGTAGTAAATCAGGAACTGGCCGGTATTAAGTACGTGTGCTTTTTTTTTTTTAAATAAATTGACTTATTTACAGGCAAGTCCTCGATTTACGACCACAATTGAGCCCAAAATTTCAGTGGCTAAGGGACAACACATTCGTTAAGTGAGCGTTGCCCCGTTCTACGGCCTTCCTTGCCACCCTTGTTAAAGCGAATCACCGCCATTCCAAAGGGAGTCACACGGTTGCTAAGCAAATCACAAGTCGTTAAGTGAGTGATACGGTTGTTAAGTGAATCTGGCTCCCCCCACAGGAACTCGGCTTCTCAGGCAGTCACCAAAAGTGGATCGCATGACACACATCCCCCTCCGGGGTCGCTGCGACCGACATAAATGCAAGTCGGTGGCCAAGCTTCTTGAATTTTGAGTGTACCAGAGACGGTCGCAAGTGTGAAAAACGGCCCTGCGTTCCCTTTTTTCAGCGTCATTGTGACTTTGAACGGTCCCTCAACAAATCTTTTGCAAGTCGAGGACTTGTCTGGTCGAGCAGGGGTGGGATGCAAATATTTTTTACTACCGGTTCTGTGGGCGTGGCCTGGAGGGTGTGGCCGGGAGGGCGTGGCCGGTGGACTGGAGGGTGGGGGCTTTTTTTTTTTTGCACACACACACACACACACACACACACACACACGGTGCTCTGATTTTTGGGCCTCCTGGCCCTCAGGGAAGGCCCCTGGCGAAGCAATAGGACAGCGAGGGGGATGCCGGCATACAGCTGATCGTTGGAACAGCTGATCGTCGGGCGGGAAGGAATCCCTTAAGGAGTGACTGGGCGGGGGAGAACCCAGTCCGCAATGCCATGCATGCACGATAAGGACTGACTGGGCGCGGGGAGGGGCGGGGCGGGCGGAGAGGGGTGGGGCCAGCCAGGGGCACAATTCGCCGGTTCTCCGAACTGCGCAGAAATCGTTAACAACCGGGTCTACTGAACCGTCCCGAACTTCTCCAAATCCCACCCAGCCCTAAACGGAACAATAAACCCACCTACCATTTCAGCCACGTCTCCCCACTGCTCCGCGTACAACTCCGGAGGAAGGTTGTATATGCGCAGGGTGTTGTCGGCACTGTTGGTCAGCAGGCAAGTCCCATCGGGGGCCCTGTAGAAAGGAGGAGAGGCGGGGGGGTGGGGGTCAAAAGAGGCTCTCCCCCCATTCAGGAGGGCTTCCACTTGCGGCCCATCTCACAGAACGAGTCGGGCTTTCTTTTTTTTTCAGCCAGAAACTTGGGGAGAACGACAACACAAAGGTGACTGACAAAGGGAAGTTGTGTTCCAATGTTTCTCAGCCTCAGCGTGCTTTAAGAGGGATGGACTTCAACTCCCAGAATGCCCTAGCCAGCAATGGGGAATTCTGGGAATTGAAGTCCACCCTTCTTAAAGCATGCTGGCTGGGGAATTCTGGGAGTCCAGACAGCTTAAGTCAAATTGGCTGGGGAATTCCGGGAGTGGAAGTCCACCCCTCTTAAAGCAGGCAGGCTGGGGAATTTCTGGGAGTGGAAGTCCAGATATCTTAAATCACATTGGCTGGGGAATTCTGGGCACTGAATTCCACCTATCATAAAGCAAGCTAGCTGGGGAATTCTGGGAATTGAAGTCCACCCTTCTTAAATCACGCTGACTGGGGGATTCTGGGCATTGAATTCCACCTATCATAAAGCATGCTAGCTGGGGAATTCTGGGAATTGAAGTCCACCCTTCTTAAATCACGCTGACTGGGGGATTGTGGGCATTGAATTCCACCTATCATAAAGCAAGCTAGCTGGGGAATTCTGGGAATTGAAGTCCACCCTTCTTAAATCACACTAGCTGGGGAATTCTGGGCATTGAATTCCACCCTTCTTAAAGCACACTGGCTGGGGGATTCTGGGAGCTGGTCCACTCCTCTTAAAGCATGCTGAATAGGGAATTCTGGAAGTCCAGACAGCTTAAGTCAAATTGGCTGGGGAATTCCGGGAGTGGAAGTCCACCCCGCTTAAAGGGAATTCTGGAATTAAACTCCACACCTTAAAAGGAATTCTGGGAGTTGAAGTCCTCCTATTTTAAAGGCGTTAAAGGTTGAGAGACACCGATCAACCCACAAATTCTGCCTTGGAGACCTATATACATACCTCCCCTTTAGGAGTTTCTTACCTGCTTTCGACTGGAACCTGTGGGCTCCCCTGTCCACCTGCTTGCCCCCATGGAATCCCCCCTTCCCCCATTTTTAACCCCTTCCCCCCTAGTCGTTCAGCGGCCTTCTTTTTACTTCCTTCGGCCTTCCTACCCCTCCATCGCTGCTGGGACCCGTCTCCAGGTCCCTGGGGGAATGGCCTTCTTCTGTCCAGTCCCACCCAAGGAGGAGAAGATCTCCTGCAGCAGGTTGGAGAAATCTCCATGTCTTAAGGAACAGCGCCAGAAAGAAGAACCAGCATCCCAGATCCAGAACAAGGAGACTAAGAGGATCGAAGGCCCAGGGACTTAAAACATACGGAGGACGGTTGCAGGATTTGGGTTCCGCCAGTCTACAGAAAAGAAGGATAGCACCTTCCAGTATTTGGGGGGGGGGGCTGCCCCAAAGAAGGGGGGGGTTCCACCTATTCTCCAAAGCCCCAGAAGGCAGGAACGGAAGCAACGGATGGAAACTGATCAAGGAGAGAAGCAGGAGAAATAACAAGGACAATTCACCAGAGGAACAGCTTGCCACCAGAAGTTGTGGGGGCTCCATCAATGGAGGTTTTTAAGAAGAGACTGGACAACCATCTGTTCTGAAATGGTGCAGGGTCTCCTGCTTGAGGAGGGGGTTGGACTAGAAGACCTCCAAGGTCCCATCCATCTCTCTTCCGATGGATCGACGTGGGAAGGGGGCCTTCGCTTCCAAAGACCCAGATAGCCCCACTGGCCCAACGAAAGAGCTCTCCCAACGGCTACTTACCACTTGCAGCCCTTCAAGAAGTTCTCTGGGGTGCGACTGTACTCAGCCCAGGAGCCGGTCAAGAGTCGGGGGGCCTCCGCGAAGTCGTACGCTGGAAAGCTAGGAAAGAGAGGAGACATACGCCGGTTGCATCGCGTGTGAACCGACCTACAAGCTGCTACTAACTAATGCTATAAATACTGCCAACTCCTCTACTTTCAACTCATTTGCCATCACTAGCACTGATGTCGTGCCCTAGTTGGGTCATGAAACATCTGCAGGAAAATAACCAAGCTCAGAGAGCACTGAGGACCCCCCACAGCCCTTTTCTTCTTCCTCTTCCTCCTCCTCCTTCTCCCTACAAATCCCACTCCCTTCTAGCACCGATTATGTTAGCTAGTTAGGTCACGAAATGTCTGCAAGGAAACAATTAAACTCAGAGGAGCACCCAACGGCCTCCCAGTTCACTCATTCGTTCCTTCGTTCCTTCCTTTCTCTCTCCCTCTCCTCCTCCTCCTTCCATTCTGCAAATCCCTTCCCTTCTAGCACCGATGACCTAGTTCCCTAGTTGGGTTATGAAGTCTGCAAGAAAACAACCACGCTCAAAAGAACAAAGGACCCCACAGTCCTTCCTCCTTCCCCTCTTCCTCCTCCTCCTCTCCACAAACCTCACTCCCTTCTAGCACTGATGATGTTATCTAGCTGGGTCATGAAACGTCTACAAGGAATATGTAGAGAGCTCCCGGGACCCCGCAGTGCTCGGCCCCCGCCTCTTCCTCCTCTTCCTCTTCCTCCTCCACCACCGTCACCTGCCTGCTCCTTCTCTCCCCCTCCCTTCTAGCATTCATGATGTTACCTAGTTGAAACACCTGCAAGCAAACCCCCAAGTTGAGAGAGCACCATGGGACCTACAGCAGGTCTTCCTCTTCCTCGTTCTCTGCAAACTCCCCTTCCTTCCACCTGGTTGGGTCACATCTGCAAGGAAACCCCTCCCCACCCCAAGCTCAGAGACCCCCTCATTAAGCTGCCCTTCCCAACTCCGACCATGGCATGCCTCAAAACCACAGATCAGAAGACCCCCAAAGTCCCTTCCAACCCTATTCTTCTACCCTGTTTCCCTGAAAATATGACCTACCCTGAAAGTCCTAGATTTTTACATATGCACCCAATATAAGCCCTACCCCCCCCACTATAAGCCCTAATTAAGATTCCATAAAAAATAAGCTTGGGTGGGGATTGGGGGTGGAGCTGCCCTACTGCTTACCTTCGGACAGGTGTAGCGAGGCCTCGCACACCCTGACACCTGCCTTGCCAGCCCATTTTTTTCTGGAGCTGGCAAGGCTTTCCTGAAGGCCTCTGTGGCTGGTAACAAAGCTCTGGATCGATCCAGAGTTATCGGCTCTTATCGGCTGCAGAGGCCTCCAGAAAAGCCTTGCCGGCCGCAGGAGGAGGACTTCCGGAAGGAGGCCGGGGGCAACGCGCGCAAGTGAGGTGAGTCAGTGTACGACATCCCCCCCCCAAAATAAGACCTGGTGCCTTTTTTGGTGGGAAACAAAATATAAGTCAGGGTCTTATTTTCGGGGAAACCCAGGGCACGTCCATATCCAGGAGGATAAACCTATTCCGAGATCTTCCTTTCTCCAGGATAGACGAAGGCTCAGTTGTCCTGTCTTAAACCGCAGCATGTTTTATTCCTAAGACATGCAGGGACGCCAACTCACTAATATTCTCCTCCGTCAATCCACGCGCCACTTTCTTCAACCCCTTCTTCCTCCTCCTTCTCGTTGTCCGGTTTTTCCTCGGAGTCCACCGCAGCGTCCTGGAAGCTGGATTCTTCTACTTCCTCTTGAGAAAGTCCATGGACAGCTAGATCTGTCTCTTCTTGAGCTCCATTAAGTCTTGGCACTTTAGAAGCTGGTCCAGGTGTTTCTCCAGCTTTCCCACCGTTGCCGGTTAGCTGCAGCAAATCTGGCGTAACTGGATCCTCCACGGGGAATTCGGCGGCGTCCATCAGGAACCTTTCAAAGGGGTCTTCAAGACGACAGCCACTAAATGAGACTCTACTTGTTTATTCAAGTATTTATCCTGGTTAGAGTCAAAATTCCAGGTTCAACTTCAGTGGAAAGCAGTTTTAGTCATCCCAGAAGGAAACAGAGGCCAAGAGGAAGTGAGGTTTCTGTGGACTGGAAGAAAAAAAAAACCCTCCAAAATATCAATTTTGTTCATTACATTGAAATTGTAGCAAGTTTATTCTGGGTCCAAGTATTCCAGACCACCGCAGAATTAATTTAGTAGCCAAGATAAAGATTTCCTTGTATTGGACAAAGCCAGGAAATTTACATGTAAAACCAAGATACTAGTCTTTTGTAATACAGACAGTCCTTGAACTTACAACAGTTCATTTTGTGACCGTTGGAAGTTACAACGGGACCAAAAAGTGTGACATGACCATTTTTCACACTTACAACTGTTATAGCATACACCTGGGCCCACGATCCAAATTCAGACCCTTGGCAACTGACTCATCTTTATGACGGTCGCTGTGTCACGCGGTCCCCATTTGTGACCCTCTGACAATCAAAATCAATGGGGAGAGCCAGATTCACTTTTAACAACCGTGTGACTAAGTTAAGAAGTACAACGATTCACTTAACAAAAAAGGTCGTAAAAGGGTGCAAAACTCACTATAAGAAATGTCTCACTTAGCAACAGAACTTCAGGGCTTAATCGTGGTCATAAGTCAAGGACAACCTGCACAGCCATCAAACTAATTTACAATAGAATGATTAATTTAATACCTAATACAAATTAAGGGGTGTCCTTCATTACATCAGCAACTTTATGTATAAGTAAATTATTCAGTGAAATAAACCAAGGGATGTTCTTCATTTATGATTAATTTAATAAATAATAAGTTAAAGGGGGTGTCCTTCATCATATCAAAAATTTTGTGTATAAATTATTACACAATTCAATGAAATAACAAACTAAAGGGGTGTCCATTCATTTATGATGATTAATTTAATAAATAATAAATTAAGGGGTGTCTTTCATTACATCAACAACTTTATGTATAAATTATTACACTATTCAATGAAATAACTAAGGGGTGTCCTTCATTAATTTATGATGATTAATAAAATAAATATGGTAATAAATTAAGGAGTGTCCTTCATTGCACCAATAATTTTATGTATCATTGTAAATTATTACACAATTCAATTAAATAACTAAGTGGTGTCCATTCATTTATGATTAATTCAATAAACAATAAAGGGATGTCCTTCATTATATCAATAATTTTATATACCATAGTAAATTTATTAAACAATTCAATGAAATAACAAACTAAGGGGTATCCATTCATTCATGATGATTAATTTAATCAATAATACCAATTAAGGGGTGTGATTAATTACACCAATAATTTTATATATAATAGTAAATTATTACACAATTCAGTGATATAAC